AATGAATGAATCGGCCAAAACGATTCTCGAAATCGAGTATTTCTCGGAATGTTGACAACTGCGGATGCATGGCATGATTCTCGTACACTTTAGAGAAACATGTAGAGTGAACCTACCGATCGTGGGATAGTATTGAGCAAGGAATAGATACGAATGAAAGAGAATTATCCAAAACATGCTGAGAACTCTTATGCCATTGAGACAAGCAATGCTGCTCTTTCCATGCACCGTAATCATCATCTTGTGACCAACTTCAATCAAGGAGAATGACAGCAGACACCCCTGTACGAATTCTGAAACGTAAGATAAAGTCGTATCACACTACATACATGCATCCAGCGATCTTGTAACAGTTTTCATCCGAGTAAAAGGACTCAGCAGCTGCCTTTCTACCGACGGTGCCAATATAACGGATCAATAATTACCTCTGCATTTATTACCGCAATTTCTGGGATTATCTCTTCTATGGATATCTAGATCTGAATTGGACTGGCACGCAACTGCATCTTCGTCGCTAAGAAGTTGACTTTCGAGTGTGTAGTTTCTAGGTGATGGTGTTTGTAAGAGCCGTGTGTTTTGTCGACATCTACGTCTCAGTGCATCATACAGGGTACCAGAGATAATCACAATCGCGAGAACCACACATATTAGTCTATAGAGAAGATGGACCACTGTCAGATGGTATAGTTACGTGTACACGATTACGAACGACAGTGCCCAGAATAGCGAGCTGACTGAGGGGAATATTCTGTTTACTTACATTGCTACATAGTCACCTGCTCTTAGATCGTATTTTCTGGCACATGGTGCATATGATATAGGCATTCTCCCGAGAATTGTTGAAAAGACTGAAATTGAAGTAAAAATGTTAAAACATATCATAAATCTTCATAATTCAGTTTAATGTACGTTTCGTGAAGACGTGAATTGTTTTTATATAAAATATTCATCAATGTTTGTAAATCTCAAATAGCAATTGAAAGCAACTTAACCAAGCACAAGCCTTAGCGGGTGAATACCACCCGTATAGAACTGCGCTGAGGTCAGTTAACCTTTGACTTCTCCTTTGCAATGACTCGCTTTTGCAATTTAACGTCATGTGCAAGTGATAATGGTACTACTTTTATTTTCATTCTTTTAATGTCCGACAAACGAACCAATGTAATTTTAAGCGTTCTAAACAAATTTGATGTGATCTACGTGTTGCGTTCATGGCAGTAAATCGACCAATGATTAAAGAGACCCCACAAAGACTCGTGGGTAATGGGCGTTATCAAATGGTTTCTACACCCAATGAAAGCTTTTTTGTTGGATTTGAATGAATCGCGAGAAACTCGTGGGGATAAATGTCTTATAAAAATTTATGAATGCTCAAAACACAAATTCGCGTCTTCATGTTATAATCTTGGCTTTATCAAGGACATCAAAAGTTATCACCTTCAAACACGCCTGTAAGATGAATGTTGAAATAGAGAACGCTTTGTACAAGTCTCAAAATTATATCACTATAGCGAACATGTAAACATGTCTGTAAATATTAGCTGTTCGCACAATATATTTTGCAGAATAGACACTAACCCAGAGACACAAACACTGGCACATCTTGGTCTGTACACGAGTCTGGAAAACATACTCCAATATCTGCAGTGACAGTAGACTGAAAACAAAACAAACACATTAATATCGTTGTACTACTCCCATGTCGTTATACTCGTAATGCGATAATCAA